AGGTTCCTTAAGAAATTAAAAATAGAGCTACCATGTGATCCAGCAATCCCACTCCTGGGCATATATCCAGAGAAAAACATGGTCCAAAAGGATACATGCACCTCAATGTTCACTGCAGCACTGTTTACAATAGCCAAAACATGCTAGCAACCTAAACGTCCATCAATAGATGAATGAATAAAGAAGATGTGGTCCATATAAACAATGGAGTATTACTCAGTCATTAGAAAGAATGAAATAGGGACTTCCCTGGTGGCACAGTGGTTAAGACTCTGCGCTCCCAATTCAGGGGGGAAGGGTTCAATCCTTGGTCAGGGAACTAGATCCCACTTCCATGCCACAACTAAGAAGCCTCTCATGCCACAACTAAGGAGCCTGCCTGCCGCAACTAAGGAGCCCACCTGCCACAACTAAGACCCGGTGCAACCAAATTAATTAAATTTTTTTTTAAAAAAGAACGAAATAGGGCTTCCCTGGTGGCGCAGTGGCGGAGAGTCCGCCTGCCGACGCGGGGGACACGGGTTCGTGCCCCGGTCCGGGAAGATCCCACAAGTCGCGGAGCGGCTGGGCCCGTGAGCCATGGCCGCTGAGCCTGCGCGTCCGGAAGCTGTGCTCCTCAACGGGAGAGGCCACAGCAGTGAGAGGCCCGCGTACCGGGGGGAAAAAAAAAAAAAAAAAAACCACGAAATAATGCCATTTGCAGCAATATGGATGGACCTGGAGATCCATACTAAGTGAAGTAAGTCACACAGGGAAAGACAAATATCACATGATTTCGCTTATATGAGAAATCTAAAAAAATGATACAAATGAACATATTTACAAAACAGAAACAGACTCACAGTTTTAGAGAACAAACTTACGGTTACAGGTTGCGGGGGGATAGATTGGGAGTTTGGGATTGACATGTACACACTATATTTAAAATAGATAACCAAGAAGGACCTTATGTATAGCACAGGGAACTCTGCTCAATACTCTGTAATAACCTACATGGGAAAAGAATTTGAAAAAGAATAGATACATGTATAACTGAATCCCTTTGCTGTGTACCTGAAAGTAGCCCAACATTGTTAATCAACTACACTGCAATATAAAACAAAATTTTTTTTTTAATTTATGGTGCACCTTGGAAACAGTATATATGATTTCTATAAGAGCATACAGAGCTTGTAAGGACTTGAGATGGTATATACAAAAGAGCATTTCTCAATATGGGTCCCTGGAACAGTGTAGAATTTTTTCTCTATTTCAAGGGGAAAATATTAGTGAAATTTGTATTTGCAGATATAAGAAAAAAATTAAACACATCAATAGCACAGAAGGATGATATTCAAAGTGTGTATACTGATACAGAAGCAGCATTTACCAACTAACTACCACATGTATGCTCTTTTCAATAAGTGTCTTTTGCTATATATCTTGTCATAATTTCAAATTTTTCTGTAATGATATTTAATATTTCTAAGTTTGTATACAATTTAAGATATATGTATAACTATTGCTGAAAATAAGTGTGTACATTTTAGTTTGCTTTATTATGCAGGAAAATACTATTAAATAAATGATAAATGAAAAACAAAATGAAACCTTTCCATGGCACCAAACACCCCGAGGACAAACTCTAAACCCCTTGCACAGTTCAAAAAGCCATATGGCCCCTGCTTCACTGTCCAGACTCCCTTGTTGCCAAACACACTCCTTGCTCAAACCTAAAGCAGGAGAAAAACAGAAAGGCAGTTTTCACTTAACAAGCTATGTTATCTTGCTTCCTGCCATCTGCAAAAGCTGTTCTCTCTGCCCAGAATGCTTCTCTTCCATCAAGTCTCCATCCACATGTCCCTCCCCAGGAAGCCTTCCCTGTCCTTCCCTAGACTGGGCTGGGGAGTGCTCCCCAACTCCTGGTCCTCCCCACCCCCAAGTGCATCTTCCTGTATCACAATGGCATTTGATACCTCTCTCCCCACTGGATGCCAGGCACCTGAGGGCAGAGGCAATGTTGTTACTTAACCATGGTAGGCGTAGGCTTGGTCCCTAGCACATGGGGCCTCAATAAATGGTAAATGGTTAAACTACTGGAAAGAACAAAGTCAACTTAGGACATTTCTGCCATAGTATTGACCCTTTTGGAACTTGGTATAGGGACTAACCTTCCTATATAGGTTAGTTCAGAATTAGTCTAATAGAGAATATTAGCATTAATATATTTAAAAGGCTTTGTGTCCCTGTTGACGGTTAATTGGAATTTGAAACCTGAAAAACGCCAATGCAAGAATAAGTTAGGTGTGGGACTTCCCTGGTGGTGCAGTGGTTAAGAATCCGCCTGCCAGGGCTTCCCTGGGGGCGCAGTGGTTGGGAGTCTGTCTGCCGATGCAGGGGACACAGGTTCGTGCCCCGGTCCGGGAGAATCCCACATGCCGCGGAGCGGCTGGGCCCGTGAGCCATGGCCGCTGAGCCTGCGCGTCCGGAGCCTGTGCTCCGCGACGGGAGAGGCCACATTAGTGAGAGGCCCGCGTACCGCAAAAAAAAAAATCCGCCTGCTAACACAGGGGACATGGGTTCGAGCCCACATGCCGTGGAGCAACTAAGCCCCTGAGCCACAACTAATGAGCCTGCATGCCACAACTACTGAAGCCCACATGCCTAGAGCCTGTGCTCCACAACAAGAGAAGCCACCACAATGAGAATCCTGTGCACCGCAACAAAGAGTAGCCCCCACTCGCCTCAACTAGAGAAAGACCGCGTGCAGCAAAAAAGATCCAACACAGACAAAAATAAATAAATAAATAAATTTTTTTTTTTTAAAAAGAAGTTAGGTGTGGATGAACCTTATATAGGTAAGAGCACGTTTCAGTCCAGTGCAGGGGAACTGTGATTAAAAGAAACTTTAATCCTACGGTATTACTGCTTGGACAGATTAGATTTCCAAACAGGGCTTCTCATAAGCTTTCTCAAGTAATGAAGCCAAACACATGCTACTTAATAAACTGTTTACAAACAGCAACAATACCCACAAAAAGAATTGTCTATACTAATGGAAAAGCATCTGTTTAAAATTCTCAGAGTCAACAAATATTAAGTACTTTGCGTCTGACTAACAGCAGTGAAGAGAAGATCACTTGTGCCCAGGTCTGACCAAGGACAGTAACTAACTGGTAAAGGACTGACCAGTTGCCTTGCTCCCAGCCCTTTGTTCCCTCCACCACAACAAACCACTTTCCAAAGTTTCTAAATATATTGTAGGGTATGAAAGTCGCTCAAAACTAGGCTTTGCTTTTCAAAGTGGCCCTATTATACCTGAGGATATAAGGTCTAATCCTCTCCTTTAAAGTCAAGTGCCGAGTTGTCTTACTTTATTCTCTTTTAGAAGTCTTTCTACTAATTTCAGAAATCCAGGCTGGTTCAGCTATGTTTACAGGGTCAAAGTTTGAAAGTCAGGGGACTTCCCTGGCAGTCCAATAGTTAAGACTCTGCACTTCCACTGCAGGGGCATGGGTTCAATCCAGGGTCAGGGAACTAAGACCCTGCATGCCGAGCAGCACAGCCAAAAAATTTTTTTCATTTTTCTTAAGTAAATAAAACTAAAAAAAGAATTTTTAAACTCAGGATCAGAGTCTATATGTGTTCCTAGTGTTTCATGCCTAATATCTTGCAGATTCCTCTAATAACGATGGAAAAGAAAAGGCTCACATTCTAACTTGACTATAGATGCAACAGATGTTTCAGGAGAAAGCCTTCCTATATAAGTTAGTATTTAGCAAGGATCAAATTCAATTGGCTGCCTGGCCCAGGCAAGTTAAGTGAGTTAAATAGGCTGAGTCACAGAAGAGAGAAAGAGGAATACTTCAGTTCTCCCCTCAAACCATCTCACATAGGGTTCAGAGGACAGAAAACCCACACTTCACGTAAAAGGCAGCCACTCCACCAAGTGTTGGAAACAAGGGCCTACTATAAACAGGTCTGCTTTTCCAAGAGAAGCTCTAAAACCAAAGATATGTGAAACTCTTAATTTAAAATGATGGCAACAATTAATTTTTTTTAAACATCATCCAGCCCCTCTGCCCAAAAGAAAAAAGGGAAAATCCATGAGCAATCTGATATTTTGATTCCAATCTCAGTTATGGAATCAAAATACCAGTTCTATCATTTTCTAGCTCTTCGTGTCTTTGATATATCAGTCAACTTCTGAGCTTCACTGTCCTCATCTAAAAACCAGGGTCATGAACATGAAACACAATAATGCTTATTAAAGACTTAAAAACAATTCCCAACACAGAGCTAGCAAATAAATAGAGTTTCCTATAGGTAGAAAGTGGATCTTACTATCAGTAAATTATCTGCTGTGGTCTTCAAAGAACCCAATTGAAGAGCTCAAGGAGGCAGAATTCTCAGATTTAGAGCCTTTCAAATTCTGATCACTGGGCTTCCCTGGTGGCGCAGTGGTTGAGAGTCTGCCTGCCAATGCAGGGGACGCGGGTTCGTGCCCCGGTCTGGAAGGATCCCACGTGCCATGGAGCGGCTGGGCCCGTGAGCCATGGCTGCTGAGCCTGCGTGTCTGGAACCTGTGCTCCGCAATGGGAGAGGCCACAACAGTGAGAGGCCCACATACAGAAACAAAGAAAAAAACCAAAAAAAAAAATTCTGATCACTGAATACAGAGTATTGAAGGCATTAGAAACTAAACAGAACCAGCAATAAAGAATGCCTAGCAACAGACACAATGAGCTGGAAGTAGCTCTCCCTATTAAGAAATCTATTAACTGTCACTAGTTAATGGCCACAAAAAGGTAGTAAAGTACACATGGCAGGGTATATGTTTCAGGGAAAACAGTGGCAGCTTCTAAAATAAGCTGTTAAGACAAAGCAGAGGGTTTCAGGGGAAGTTTTTTAACTTGGACAAACTTCTCCTGTCAGATTATAGACTCTTGTCTGTTAAACACATCTACTAGTTTTCATACTGTTTTAAGCAAATTCCAAACAATACCAACCACAATATTAGGAAGAGTTTGTTAAACAAAGAATTGCTTTATTAATACAAACTATTAATACATACCCACAGACTATAAAGTGCTAAGAAATTTAAATATCTAAGTCATAGCAAACAGGTGGCAATTCAACATCCAGGGTCGACAGAATGCTTGAGGGAGACTGCAACAGATCTAGAAAACAGGAATTTCTTGTTCAATATCTGCAAATCCTCGTGTCCATCAACACACACACTAGTTGTCACTCTTAATCATGAATTCTTGTTTTTCCCTTTGTCTAAGGAATCTTTACCCCCGCCCCACCTACACACACACATACCCGCTCTCACTTATTTCTTGGAAAGTGGCTGTGGCCACAGAATTAACCTTCATTATGAGATAAATCATAGAAGTACCTGAAATTCCATCATCCTTAGAGACCCAAGTAAGGGCCAACAATTATCATTAATGCAATTGAGCAAATAGTGTGAGGTATTCCATCAGAACAAATAGAAAACATACTGATGATGGCTTTTGACCACCAGTTTGAACCAAGACCTCAAACCTTCTGCAGTAAACGTTTGCCAATTGATGCTATTACGTGGGTCTTGATCCTACACGAGCTTTGGGTGTAGCTTGTAATTCTCACTTCAAGCAAGTTTATTATACTTCAGCTTATAACGTAAGAAGTTACACACTAAATTTCCTCTGGTTTTGCTTGTATCTAAGACTGTCCCGATTCCAGAATGACAATTTTACTGGGCATTTGGGACTAAACAGCAGTACCAGTTGAGAATAGTTTTCATTATCCTGAAACCTTATCCCTGCAGTCTGAAGGATAGAAATTACTTACAGGCTAACCTTCTGCACAACCTGTCCCCGTGGTAATGGAAGTGTTATGACACAGATTGTTTACAGACCTTCTAGAAGGGCACTCGTTCACTTACTAGACTCCCACGGTAGAGGAGACATCTTCAGAGGTGAAGGGGGGCCCAGGTGTAACAGCTGTTCAAGCTCCCTCTTCTCATCGAGGATCATGAGAGGCACTCCATTCAAGGGCATGTGTGCAATCTGGTGCTCTTCCGGCAGGTCGAAACTCTCGAAATCTGCCACAGAAAAGTACTTTGTCAGGGCAGCATTCCTCAGGGTGGTCAGCTTTCACAGGGCCCATGAGCTCAAGCTTTTTTTTTTTTTTTTTTTTTGCGGTACGCGGGCCTCTCACTGTTGTGGCCTCTCCCGTTGCAGAGCACAGGCTCCGAACGTGCAGGCTCAGTGGCCGTGGCTCATGGGCCCAGCTGCTCCACGGCATGTGGGATCTTCCTGGACCGGGGCACGAACCTGCATCCCCTGCATCGGCAGGCGGACTCTCAACCACCGCGCCACCAGGGAAGCCCTCAAACTATTTTTTATAATAATATTAATACCTTTTTCCACTGTGTTGACATTTACAGTGATGGTCCAAAAGCAATGGTAGAGAAAACTGCTGTGCGTGAATCAAGGCAGTGGCAATAAACTATGCTTAGTAGTCACTATATTCCTTGCTGCCATTCACTTGCAGTAAAAAATGCGTTTCACATAATGTTACTTTACCACATGCAGTAAACAGTATTAATTTTATTAGCTCTCAACCCTTGAGAACATGTCTTTTTAGTATTCTGTATATGATGTGACGTATGCCACAAAACACATCTACCGCATACTGAAGGACCATGGTGTTTTCCAAGAAAAAAAGATTCGTGCAATTATTTGATTTGCAAGGTAAACTAGAGGCCTTATTCCTGGACACCACTTACTTGAAAGAACTGAAAGACAAACTGTGGTAACTCAGCCTTGGATATGTGTTGCACATTATTCTCCGAGGAATGAAAGAAGTCTACCACTTAAAGGGAAACGGTATTTGTTGCCAATGATAAAATTCACAATTTCAAGGGGAAAAAAAACTGGAATATCAGTAAACTTATCTGTAAGCATTAGCTTAAGAGCTTCCTAATACTGAAGACTTTTCTGATTAGATCAGCAGTGATATTAATGAGTGTGCTTTTGATACTTCATAATGAAACATTTCAACATGACCTACATTTCCCAGGGTACCAGTATTTCTAAATGATCAATGGTGATAAATGCAGGATAAAAGATACCTTCAAAATGCAAAACAGACCAATGGATTTTATCGTCAGAGCACACAATGTTTACTGAAACGGTTTTGGATTCCACATTGCAACTATGCCTACAGAAACAGCCACTTGTTGAATTTTAGTGTAATGGCAACGAAAACTATCTATACTTATCTAAAAGACTTAAGGGCTTCCCTGGTGGCGCAGTGGTTGAGAGTCCGCCTGCCGATGCAGGGGATGCAGGTTCGTGCCCCGGTCCGGGAAGATCCCACATGCCGCGGAGCGGCTGGGCCCGTGAGCCATGGCCGCTGAGCCTGCGCGTCCGGAGCCTGTGCTCCGCAACGGGAGAGGCCACAGCAGTGAGAGGCCCGCATACAGCAAAAAAAATAAAAAAGACTTAAAATGCTTCTCTTTCCTAAATACATGTCTGCATAAGGCCAGATTTTCTTCATATACTTCAACCAAAACAAGATGCAACAGATTGCAGAATCCATGTGAATCCAGCTGTTTTATGTTAAGCCAAATTAAGCAAATTTTCAAAAATATAAAACCATGCCATTCTTCTCACAATTTATACATGTAAAAAAATTTTGTTTCAAGCTATGTACATTAATGTAATGTGTTTGTTTTTTAAACAAATTAATTCTTTTTTAATTTCTCAATTTTAATTTCTAATATAGAATACATAAACACTACACAAAAGTTCTTTGGGGTCTTCACTAATTTGTAAGAGTGTAAAAGTCCTAAAACAAATTTAAGAAATGCTGTTTTAGGCAACATTTCTTCTTAAAATCCAAGTGCCTTTCAGATTAGGAATTATTTAAAACAACTAATTTTTCTTGACAGTAACAAAAGTAGGATTAGAGTCTTGCCTCTTTTCGAAGAGGTAATCAAGAAGAAACAGACAATTTGAACAGACTGATCACAGTCATAAAACTTAATTTGTAATTTAACAAAACTCCCCAAGAGGTTAATTTAAGCATTTTCTCAAAAGCTAAGAACAAAGATGGACGGAGAACCATCATATTCTGAAGTGCGAAAGTTCTCTAAAGCCTAAATACTAGGAATTGGTCTATTCTTTTTCAAGACTGATAAAGCTCAGAATTCAAAAAGGAATTGAGTGATATGTGACTACTTAATTTAAACACTGAATTGTAAAGGAAAGCATAAACAAACAAAAGACCCCAGAGGAAATAAGTCTGCAACATACAGGGCTAATTACCTTTATCCACAGAGTTCTTTACACACTTACACACACATACACACAGTGTAACAAAGTCACAAAAATCAAGAGAAAACAAAGATACAAACAGAAAATTAAAAAACTATAAATGACCAATAGTCAAATATGCTCAGACACACTCATATACCCCAATTTAAAACAAAAAAATACCAAGTACCTTTCTGATAAAGATTAGAGCTTTAAAACATTTGCAGTTAGATTACAGGGGAAGCAGGCATCCTCATCCACCGAAGGTGGCTTCAATAATTTATGCTCCTATTTTGGAAGGCAACTTAGCAATATCTCTTTCCTCCAACACAGCATATCTTAGTCCTCTTTCCTGGTCAATATGCATAAATCTACTTCATTTTCCTGAATGGTAATCATTAGAACGGATGTACCACATTTTATCAAAACTTAATCACACAGCTTTGAGACCCAGCAATCCTTCTTGGAGTTTACTCTCCAGAGAGACTCACAAACTCTCAACAATAATTGCATAACTGTTTTGTAATATATAAAAGCCAGAAACAACCTAGATGTATACTACTGGAATGATTAAATACTCTTTGGATCAAAGGGCAAAAAATCCAGCTCAGAAATCTCAAAGGACCTGTGTGATTTGTCCCCACCCCCTCACCAGTACCATCCTTCACCTCTGCCTTTCAGCTTCCCAGAACCACTCCAGTCCTTTTTTCTGCCTCAGGATCTTTGCACACACTTTGATCTGCTACAGTGCTCTTGCCCTGCCCTATCCTTTCTTCACCCAACTATCTCCTTATATCCTTCAAGACTCCACTGGGTGTCACTTCCTGAGAGAACTCTTCCCTGCTCTTACAGGCTAGGTTCAGTCCCCCTAACAGGCCCTGTGTTTCTCCTTGCTCACACTCAAAGTGAGATGATTTGTTCAGTGCCTGACTTTCCCTCCAAATCATGGGCTTCTCAGGGTGGGGCCTGTCTTGTTAACCACTGCATCCCAAGCTTATTCGTGCCTGGCGTATGGTAGCCTCTCCTCAAATGTGAGTAAATTAAAGCTTGAAAAGCTGGTTCTGTAACAGAAAATATCTCAGATACGTATAGCAGGTTGAGGGAGTAAAAAAAAGCACGTTTTCACTGGCTATGTGGATTTTTCAGGCATTGTTTTTTGGGGGGTTTTTTTAGAAATATTTAATGTGCTTGTGGAGAAATAGGACAAGCAAGGGTTGGATTCACAACTTGTATATAGTTAGTATTGCTGACTAAATGCTTTAGCTTAGAAAGCAACTAAGTTTTTTTTTTTAATTATTTTTTATTTGATTTATTTTTGGCTGTGTTGGGTCTTCGTTGCTGCACACAGGTTTTCTCTACTTGTGACGAGTGGGGGCTACTCTTCATTGCGGTGTGCAGGCTTCTCATTGCGGTGGCTTCTCTTATTGCGGAGCACGGGCTCTAGGCACGCGAGCTCAGTAGTTGTGGCTCGAGGGCTCTAGAGCACAGGCTCAGTAGTTGTGGTGCATGGGCTTAGTTGCTCTGCAGCATGGGGGATCTTCCCGGACCAGGGCTCGAACCTGCATACCCTGCATTGGCAGGCGGATTCTTAACCACTGAGCCACCAGGGAAGCCCTCAGGCATTGTTCAACTTGACATAGAGCCCTCTTTCTAAATGGTTTTCTAAGAAGACTGTCCCCTAACGTTGAATAGGTGTAATCTCCCCCTAGGTGGTTAGCTTTTGAGGACAGGAACAATGTTTTCCACATCTTAGCTCGGATTCCTCTTCTGACCTAAGATTATACCTTACAAATAAATTCACAAGTGTATTTGTTCAGAGCAACCCAGATTCAGACAGCCTTGTTACAGTCTTGGATCACATGTCTTATTCATAGCTATATCAAGTTACAGTTGAATTGGATCCTAAGAGAAACTCAAGGCTAAAGCATTTGTGCGATACCAAAAGATATTACCTAATGGGTTGAAGGGAAAGAATTTTTCTATTTCTGGATAGGTGTCATCTGAGGCAGGAACAGAGCTTTTTGCTTTAACGGTCTTCTCAGTCATCTAAAACAACCCAAGAAAACATACATTAGTGAGAGCGGAAGCCTTGTCAACTGATTAGTACAAGAGATCATAGGGCTTCTTTAAGACATGTGACTGCTTCACCACATTTTAAATTGTTTTCAATTTCATGCTGACTTCTAAGAAACCATAATCCTTCATTCTCAAAATTACACACAAATACAATTCAGCAAGCAATTCTAATATCATGGCTCAAAAGTTAATTCTAAAATATAAGTATCAGCACCTGTTAGCATAAGTTATCAAAATGCAGAGTGGAGTTAATTCAGAACTAATTGACTCAATCACCCAACCTAACAAAGGAGAAAATGGGCATGAATCACCTAGAACAGAAGCTAATCCTGGAAGCCATTTTTGGCTGTTGGAAATATAATTTTCCGTTGGTGTGTCCATCAGTGTTACCTAAATTATTTGCTTGGTTAATTTTAAAAACCAATTTGTGTTCTTCAAATACACAGAGTAAGAGGCAGCCAAAGACAGCCAAGGACTTTAGAAGCCCACAGTGGATAATTCCCTAGTCTGGAATTGGCAGGCAGTCCACAATGGTGGGCCAAAATGGAAACCTGCATAGTCTTGATTTATGCTTACGTCACATGTGCATGGCTAGAGGAAATCCCTAAGGCAAGGTTTCCCACATTTCAGTTCTGTCAGATTCTCATCACTTTTGCTATATCCTTGCAATACTTGCCTTTAACATTTCTCTTACTCAACTCAGTTTTTTTAAAAAGACATCCTTGTCCTAAAACCACACATGTCTCAGTTTGAGATCAAGTACTAGTTGTTTTTTCCTAATACACATTTAAACAAAACAATTAGTGAAATGAAGTGTTAATCCACATGCTAAAGTTATCTTTCATAGCCAAGTCCTCTCAGTCTAGGATGCACTAACCTACAGTTTGTAAACACACATACCAAGGTCAACATGCTACCACGTTATAACCTAAAAAACTGGTGCTTGCTCTGGAAGGAGGGGAGAAGGATGGCAGCACCTGAGCTGTTATATTAGCAACGTGACCTCTTGCAAAATACCCTCCCTCTCAGTACTTTTTAATCTGTAAGTACATTCTACCAATCAATCTGCTTCAAGACACTCATTAAGGGCAGGTGAGGCAAAAAAAATTCACCAGCTGCTACTGAGACGTGATCTTGAGTTACAGGGGAAGTCCACAAAGACAGTATGATGATTCTCTTCTGCTAAACTATGTTTGCTAGCCTCTATTTCTTTCTGTTCACACAGGAGAAAGTCGGGTAGGATGCCAATAGTCATTTTAAGAGTCACAAGTGCTGAAGTGTTTAAACAGCATCTTTATTTATAGCCAACACTTACCTTTTTGGTAGAGAAGGCTGTCTGTTTCTGTTTGAGGGGTCCATTAGTTTTTATTGACTTTTCTGCAGCTCTGTTAACAGTTCCCAAAGCCTTTCTGGTAGCTTTAGGTAAAGCTGGTGGAGCATCAAACATTTTGCCAACATGTGGTGTTGAAACCTGAGATCTCCCATCTAAAGCTTTGACTGCTAAAGAAAAAGTCTTACCGTGAGATTATTCCAGCAGTAAACGCCTGTGCAACTTGAAGGCTGACCTTGCCTATAAACGTGGCCTAATTCTCACACCCAAACTTAACCCCTTTTCGACAGCGGCATGGTCCTATGCGTAACAGTACTTCAGTTCAGTACCCTCTTAAATAATCTCATTAAGATACTGAACATGAAAAAGAGACCCATAACAAGAACCTGGTAGTAGCAGTATTGGGTAAACCTGACTCCAATTGCTGGCAAAGTATACTAAATGCCTCCCCCAGCTCCAGGCCACACCCACCACTGATTCACAATACCTGTGTACCTGATTGCCGCCTGTATACTTACAAGGCCCAGACCCCAGCTTCAGCCCGTCCTTAGGAGCCACACGGGTGCCTGGTTCTCCATTTTCCTTGTCAACATAGATCAGAGTAGCCATTCTGGATTACCTAGGGGTGTGAAATACTCATTAAATCCTGGGAGTTAGGGAAGATGAAAGAACCTAAGGTGTAGCACAGACCCCACTTTCTACCCTGGGCACGTCTATGCAAAAACAAGAGCTAAGCAGAGAGAGAAGCCCGATCTTGAGCCGACAGGCACTTAATCCAGCTCTTAACTCTTGAAGCCTGAGTCAGGGGCCCTAAATTCCAGAAGAGTTGGCGGTTTGGGACTGGCACAGGCCCTGCTACCCATCGGAACCGAACCGCCGTGGGTTGCGGACGCAGTCCAAAGGCCGTGGCTCAACGGGCTGGGCGCTACAGACGTCCCGGGGTTAGTCCCAGCCCCCAATCCCCAGCCCCGGCTCCCAGACATACGGACCCCGCTTCCCAGACCCCCCACTCCAGCCCCGCTTCCTACCCCGCCGGACCCCTCCCGCCCAACCACTCGCGACCGCTCCATTCACCCACGTCGGGAACAACAGCCAAACTCTTCCGAGACACGATCTCCAGCGGTCGCGCGGGCCTCGGCGTTTAAACCACAACTTACGCCGCTATTGGTTCATCCGTCCAGGAGGCGGGGCAGGAGTGGGGAGGAGGCTCCCGGGAAGAACCAATGGTAGGAACATAAGCTCCCTGGGCTCCGCCCCGAAAGCTTCCCCCGGCAACTTTGTCGCTAGTTTCCCGGGAGGAGAAATATCAAACACGCTGACACCTTGATCACGGATTTCTAGTTGTTTTTTAACCTGCTCCCCACAGAAATAGAAGGGGAGTAAATATGGTCTCCAATTCCAAGAAATAAATAATTATGATGATTATTGTAATACCAAGATACAGAGAGTTGGTTTTTGGAGTTTGTTTTTTCCTGAGACACTTTGGTGTCCAAGACGTTTTCAAATGAGAAGATTGTGAAGTTCAGAAAGTCAAGGTGAGGTGGTGACAGAACTATTTTCCTAAAGTCTTCAACTAATCAACTATTTTTCCAGAGAGTAAATAGAGCAGATCAAATCGAAAAGAAGGGGCAGCACTGGAGGAAAGGCATTGTAGTCATCGGGAAAATGAGGAAGGGAGACGGATACATAATTGTTGTATTTCAATTAGAGATATAAAAAATACATATATAGGGCTTCCCTGGTGGCGCAGTGGTTGAGAGTCCGCCTGCCGATGCAGGGGACGCGGGTTCGTGCCCCGGTCCGGGAGGATCCCACATGCCACGGAGCGGCTGGGCCCGTGAGCCATGGCCGCTGAGCCTGCGCGTCCGGAGCCTGTGCTCCGCAATGGGAGAGGCCACAGCAGTGAGAGGCCCGAGTACCGCAAAAAATAAATAAATAAATAAATAAAATAAAAAATACATATACAGTCAATATATAGTCCGGTGGGGGAAAAAACCTATATTAGGTCTAGTGAATACTAGCAGGGCAGAATTAAAAATTAAGAAATGAAAGTACAGGTAGATAAAACGGCAGTGTTTGTGTCATTCTGTGGTGCTTGTGATTAAGATGGATTGATTCTGAAACTAATATAATAAATCCATTAAACTTCAATTTTTACAAAATGGACTGATTATTTCCTAATTGCAAGACTATCATCAATATTTCAGGTTAGGATGCTGTCTCTGTTATACAGAATCTGACTTAGGAACAAAATAATGACCTAATGAGTACAAAATTCAGGCTTCCTTTAAACTTCTATCATTTAATTGGGACTTTTTTTGTTTGATTTTGGCCATGCCGCATGGCATGCAGGATCTTAGTTCCTAGACCAGGGATCGAGCCGTGCCCCCTGCAGTGGAAGCGCAGAGTCTTAACCACTGGACCGCCAGGCGAGTCCCAATAGGGAGTTATTTTAAACTTTTAACATCTCAACAATATACTCATCAAAGCTGGTGGGGGAAGGACAGAGGGTGAACAAGAGAAAAAGATCAGAGGAATAATAAAGATATACAAAAGGAATTCCAATTTCCAAGATATGGGGAGAAATTGTGCTTGAAAAAGTTGGTAACCTTTTCCTTTCTACAATAAATAGAAATATATTGAACAAGATAAAGAAATCAGTTCAAAAGACCAAGGGTGACCTGTGTCATCCAAACTGTACTCCCAACAGGTCACCAGATACTTTTTAACTTGCATGTAAGTTGGGAGAGAGGAGTTGAGCCTACATTACTCTTTCACAAAAGGCTTAGCACTACACCTGGCATAGATATGGTTTGAAACATATGCCAGTTCATTGTCCCATCTTCCCTGGCATTTCAGGACCAAAATTGATTGAATGTCTCATTCATTCAACAAATATTTATTGAGTGCTTATTAAATGCTGGACATCATGAAGAAAAGAGGAAGGACAAAAAATGCATAACTTCTTTGCCCCTTCTCTGTCCTTTCTCCTTTATCCCTACCCCTCCCCTTATTTCCTCCCTGTACCTCCTTCTAAATGTCTCAGCTCCATATTATATCATCAACACACAAAAGTGTTCATTTTGAAACCAAATCTGCATGACACTGTCAAAAAACAAAATTCAATCAAGTAAACTTTAAGATCTAATTGGCTTTATTCAACAACTCATGAATTAGACAGCATCCCACCTAGCAACCAGAAGCATGCTCCAAGGGGTTGTACAAGCTGAAAAGTTTTTGTAGGAAGAAGGGTGGGGCATGGAGCTATTAGCAGAATAATAGAAAGGATTATTTTTAGGCTGGGACATCTTTGGGGGGCGGGGAAGGGGGCAAGGAACAGCAAGGTTTTTACAGCTGATTGCCTCTTCTTCCTCTGAGAGGCAGGGTGGGGGTGAGGGGATGATAGAAAGGGTCCACGTGACATATTACCTCTTCAGTACTGACCAGGAAATTCCAAACTGGTTGATTGGATTACATTTCTGGGGATTACATTTTGAAGTTGTGATTACATTAGATGTTAAATCTAGGTTTGGTATCATGGGCTTTAGCACAAGTAACACCATTTTGGGCCTGTGGCTTCTATCTTTAACAACACCTACAGCTTCCAAGTGGGGATTCTTTATCTCCTGAAGTTTTGGGGCGCAAGGTTTATATCTCCCTAGGGTAAGTCTTCCCCCTACAACAGAAAGCACTGTGTCTCCCAAGGTCATGCAGTAACTGTAAAATGCACAACCACTCCCTCTTTGAGTAACCACTGTTTCCTTACTAATGATGCCCCAAACCCACTCTGCTATACCCCAGACCATTACTGGAGATACCCAATTGCTAAACCATCCTCACCTTATATCTGCATCTAGATCCTAATCAATCCCAGTTTATCAAACAGCAACCCATCCAGAATTGATTTCTGCTTCCCTAGACCCTCCTCAGAATCCTCCAGGGGGAATCTGAACCTTACAAAAGGTTCTTCTCTCTTGTCCAGCACATTCTATAATTCCTCTGAGAGATGTACTCCCTGGCTTGTGCCTGATAGTTTTAACTAAATACACTCTAACACTTCCAAGCAAATTTTGGGAATTGTTTTAAGGAGATAAAAGCAAAGTGTGAGACTTCCCTGGTGGCACAGTTGTTAAGAATCCGCCTGCCAATGCAGGGGACACGTGTTCGAGCCCTGGTCTGGGAAGATCCCACATGCCGTGGAGCAACGAAGCCTGTGCGCCACAACTACTGAGCCTGCACTCTAGAGCCCACGAGCCACAACTACTGAGCCCGCGTGCCACAACTACTGAGCCCACGTGCCTAGAACCCATGCTCCGCAACAAGAAGCCACTGCAATGAGAAGCCTGTGCACCGCAACTAAGAGTAGCCCCCACTCACTGCAACTAGAGAAAGCCCGTGCGCAGCAACGAAGACCCAACACAGCCAAAAATAAATAAATAAAATATATATTAAAAAAAGCAAAGTGTGAGTGATTCAGACTACTCACTTTCAGACTATTTTCTGACAACTTCTGTCCCTTCAACTATTGCCCTGTAAAATCAAAATTAATATTTACATTCCTATGCTAGGCACTGAACATTCTTAATAAGAAAAAATAGATTATATTATGATGAGATCTCTTATTGAAGCAAGGATGTCACTCTGACATTTGAAAGGAACACATACTGTTTTGAAAAATAAAACATGACCGGAACAGAGAGGATAGGACCAAAAAAAAAGGGGGGGGGAATTCTACTCCAACATTAATATTTTCCGGTATTTTATTTCATATTATACTTTAAAGGAAGGTTGAGATGTCATAAATATTACTGTTTTCCCAAAATGGAAATCGTTTTATAGTATTTTTTTCCTAATGCTAAAATACAATATCACATTGGGACGAGGTATCACAATTACGGAATAATGCCTCACGTTCTCATAGCACCTCGTATACCTTTCATAGCGGCTTTCTAGAACTATACATTTTTGAATAATTCAGTGTCTTTCTCACTCCGTATGATGTAAATTCGAGGAGAGGAAGACACTTTGTGTTTACCTTGTCCTCATTGTGTTACACTACCTGGCTACTAATTAATGCTAATTTTAACTTTTTTTTTTAACTTCACGCACTTCCCCCTTCATTTTACAGCGCTCTAGTGAGGCTTAAGCTGTCGTCTGCTCTCTACTACGTTTTTCTTTGTTTGTTTTGTTTTACGTCGTGTGACGCGGCGACTCTTAAAAAAAAATTTCAAAGACCAGAGCGGAAAAGCAGCTGCTCAAACCTAACCCATTCTATAGACCCACAGTAGAGAAACGGACACAGCTCAGCATCTCGCGAGACCAGCTCCGCCTGGGAGCCTGAGACTCAAAGAGTTCTTAGCGCGCATGTGTGGGTCGTCCGGAAGGTGCCGCAGGGGCTGCTGGGAGAGGGAGGAGGTCAGGAAGTAAACATAGATGGTCGGCTTCCTGCATGTCCGGCTGTCTTGGTGTCAGCAGCGGCGGGACCGGGTAGGGAAATATTGTGAGAACTTCAAGAGGGAGGTGGGTGAGGGTGAAGAACCCCGAGAAGTGGACCAAAGGCTCCTAATTGTTACAAATATCCTTACGAGACTGATAAACGCTACGTTGAGGAGGGAACGGGGACCTAGAAGGAAGCCGCCGTCCTAGGCCTCAGTCATAGCACCTGTGCCCAGTCAGACCAGGACTGTGTCTTCAGTGGTTTTCAAAGTAAAAATTATAAGATGCCATTGGGGCTGAACTGTCTAGTACAGTAGCTGTTAACTGTTGTGGTTCTTAAGCACTTGAAATGTTGGCTAGTCTGAATACGTGTAAAATCCATATCAGATTTTAAAGACTTAGTTTTCCTAAGTCTAAACAGATTTTTTCCTATGTTGAAATGATAATATGTTGGGTATATTGGGTTAAATATTGCAAAAATAATTTTACCTGTTTCTTTTTACTTTTCTAGTATGGCTGTGGAATATTTTAAATGACATATAGGGCTGGCGTTATATTTCTCTTGGACAGCACTGCATTAGAGGGTTTTAAGCTTGGGTAGTGGACATGATATGATCACATCTGTGTTTTGAAAAAATAACACTGCAGTGTGGAAAACTGATTGGAGGGAATTGGGAGAGACTGGTAGGGAAAAGTATTAACACTAAGGTTAT